GGTCATTTTACAAACAAACATCGACAAAATTCTCTTTGTCCAAATACATTGTTTGATTAGGCTCTTTAACAAAAAGTGCTGTGAAAAAACTGTTTGCCGTCATCGCATCATGCTTGACGTCACACAAAAAAATATAATTAGATTGTTGATGATTCAACATTGAACTAGTCAAGAATAGTTGAGATTTCGATATCAGGCAATTCTGGGGGCGGTGGCGTGGTGATGGTGATACTTTTTGATGAAACTGAGATTATTTTCTGATTCATCAATTTCGTGCTTATCTTTTCAACTGGATCTGAGTTCTTTCTTCAAAAATTTCTGTTTTTTTCGGAGAAAGGGGGTTATTGGAGTGGGAAGAAATCTTTGTAATCTTCTAAAGAATTTGGGTCCTTTTGAAAGTGGATAAAGGGGGGATTTAGCTGGTATTTTGAGCTGGGTCTGATCTGTTTTTCATAATTTGTGGTTTTTTGTTTAAAAAAATTGGTCTTGAAGGAGAGGAGTATTGGGTTTTCGTTTCGCTATTGGGAGTTTCTTAAAATTGGGAGAAAGTGTTTGTTTTGTTACCATCGACTGATTTCCTGAAATGAATTTGAGGTGTTCTAGGTGATTCTGTTTACATAGAAGGGTGTGGCAGTTCGGATTTTTTTGGTAACTATTTTCTTATTTTGTTTAGGGGATTTGATGATATTTGATTTTGTTCAAGATGGGATTAAGCGGTGATAGCCTGGAGGTGGGGTCTTGGGAGGTGGGGAAATCAAAGGGGAGGAAGAAGAAGAATGGTGATGCTGAGGAGGAGACTGAGACTGGGTGTTGGATTAAGTTGAGATATATTGGTAGCTGTATTTCTTCAAGATCAAAAGTTGATAGCTCACTTAGTGGCATCAGCACTCATGGTAATCAATTAATTGATTTTAAGTATGTCTTATACCGATTTAAATTGGATTGTAGTTCTAAAAAAATATGTTCTTTGTTGTCAGTTTAATCTGATTTTGACCTCTGCAATTTTGACCTCTGTTTTTGGAATAGTATGTGATTTCCATATCTTTGTGTTGAATTGTTTTAATCTTGAAAGTGATTTGCTGAACAGAACTTATGCCCGATATTCAAGATTCTTAAACGACAAGCTGAACATTTATTTCTGTTAATTTTCTTCGAGGATGGGAGCCTTTTTGTTATTATTTCAGTTCATCGAGTAAATTAGCTCATTTGATCTGAAAGTTTTTCGCTGAATGAGGACTACTTGTGATGTTTGACCATGTTCAGTGAAGATGCTAGGCATAAAACAGTCGTCAAATTAACATAAATGGAGGTTAAGTAAGATATAAATTGAAATTGAATTAAATGCTGTAGCATTATATCAGTGATTGTGAAAATAAATCAATGGCCGAACAGGCTACATACAGGGCTAAGGGTTGATTTAGATTATTAATTATATGATTGGAGTAGTAAAATTAGTTATTTTTCCCTTTTTAAGAAGGGGATAAAATCAGTTGTATAAAACCTAGAGCCTTTGATTGTTTCTTATTCGGATTAGATTTCATTTTTGATGTAATATTACTAAATTTTTGCACTTAAATTTGTGTGTTAAAATTCATATGCCTAAATTCATCGTGCCTGTGAACAGAAAGTAAATCTACAAACGATACTAGCAGAGGTCAACCAGTTGCCCCGGTCATTTCTTCCACTACCACGAGCAACGCTGAAAGCCATGCTTCTAGCTCCAAACTTGAAGAGGAACTTAAAGTTTTTTCTCAGCTTCGAAAATTCACATTCAATGACCTGAAGGTAGCCACAAGAAACTTTAGGCCCGAATCTCTTCTTGGTGAAGGGGGATTTGGTTGTGTATTTAAAGGGTGGATTGAAGAAAATGGAACAGCACCAGTGAAGCCCGGGACGGGACTTACCGTTGCTGTGAAAACCCTAAATCATGAAGGGCTTCAGGGTCACAAAGAATGGCTGGTTTGATGATTTCTCAGTTTACGCTTCTTGAAGTGGCTTTCCTGCATGTTAATTTGGCTTATTTTTTTGAATTGTTCTCATTGCAATTCTGTTTGGCAGGCTGAAGTAAATTATCTGGGTGACCTCCTTCATCCTAATCTGGTTAAATTAATTGGATACTGTATTGAGGATGATCAAAGGCTGCTAGTTTACGAGTTCATGCCTAGAGGAAGCTTGGAGAACCATTTATTTAGAAGTATGCACCTAATTTCCTTTTGATATATTGTAGTTAAACTTTTATCTTTTAGACTTCGCTGTGATAATAACGTTCTATTTCATTTTACGTCATTTTACATTTTATCCCTTTGGAGTGGAACTGAGAAACCAGGAGCATTTTTTGAGTGACTACATGGTTGTGCTTATGAATGTGCGCGTGTTGGTGTTTTTTTTGAGTACTTATTTGACTGTATAGTTTTGAGCAATATCCCTGTATTTTTATGTTGGGTAATCAAATCGTGCAAGAACAAAGGTAATTTTTTACTTGGCAAGTCTATATATTATAATAAATAAAATTTTAACTTCTTTTTCTTTCTTAGCCCTTGTTTGGTCCCATTATTTCTAAAATGCATTTTTTTTTCTTGTTTTCAACCGCATATTCTTCAATAAAATAATATTACATGCAAATAGAAAACTTTTCCTTATTTTTTAATCACACATTCTCCATCGAATCACTATTATAAAATGCTTTTTTGGAAAAAAAATGGGGCTCAAACAGGCTCTTAATGATGTCTAGTACGTCTTACCAAACATGCCAAAATGTTTTTGTTTCCATCAGTAGTCTGCATTCTGTAGTATAATATCTGATATCCACAAGAAAATTGGGTTCCTATTTAACTATCCTCTACTTATTTTCTTTCATCTTGTTCAGTCACCCTAATAAATTGCAATATTCAGCGATTGTAATCCATTTTTATTGTAGGGTCTCTGCCTCTTCCGTGGTCTATCAGGATGAAAATTGCTTTAGGTGCTGCCAAGGGTCTTACTTTTCTTCACGAGGAAGCGGAAAGGCCAGTTATATATCGTGATTTTAAGACCTCTAACATCCTATTAGATGCAGTAAGTTCACAACGCCTCGTAAATCATAATCTTGTAAAATATTAAATTAATTTATATATGTACATAATCTCTTAACTTTTATCCTCCCAGGAGTATAATGCCAAACTTTCTGATTTCGGACTTGCTAAAGATGCTCCGGATGGAGGAAAAACTCATGTTTCCACACGTGTGATGGGAACGTACGGTTATGCAGCTCCGGAATATGTCATGACAGGTACACAATATACGTCTTTATCTTGCTCGTGTCCTTTTCTTTTGTAAGAATTTTGAAATTAAGATATGAGAACAAGAACCCGAAATGAATTTAAGATGTGTGTTTGCTCGTGCCTGTGGCCTATAATATCTCTTTTTGTTACCGTTGGGGTTTTATTACATTCCATGAAACAATTATTACTTGTAATTTCTGTAAGATTTGCATGATATCCCTCTTTTATTCTGATTGAAATCCTTATTTATTGCAGGGCATCTTTCATCAAGGAGTGATGTCTATAGCTTTGGTGTCGTTCTTCTTGAAATGCTTACGGGTAGAAGATCAATGGACAAAAACCGGCCTAATGGAGAGCATAACCTCGTGGCGTGGGCCAGGCCTCATCTGACTGACCGGAGACGATTTTATCATTTGATAGATCCTCGACTTGAAGGTCATTTTTCCATAAAAGGCTCTCAAAAAGCTGCAGAATTGGCTGCTCGTTGCCTTAGCCGGGATCCCAATGCCAGGCCTCAGATGAGTGAGGTCGTCAATGCCTTGAAGCCTTTGCTGAACCTCAAGGACATGGCCAGCTCGTCGTACTCCTTTCAGGCAATGCAAGCCGAACGTGTTGGCCCCAGCCCAAATGCTAAAAATGGGATTCGGACTCGAGGATCGTTCAAGAGAAATGAACAGCAGCAACCACGAAGCCTCTCAATACCAAATAGTACGCATGTTTCTCCACACCAGCAGTCTGCTAATAATTCACCAAAGCCAGATGGTAATCAGTAGAACTGGATTGGAACATTTGTTCCTTCTCCAAGTTTTTCGACCATTCTTTTTTCGTCTAGCCGAAAGTTGGATATATTTTGTCACCCCGTTGTCCTTAGGTTACTGTACAAGGAAACACCTGTACACATTTCATTCTCTTGTGAATCCAACAGGGGTGAATGCCCACAGGAGAAGAGTATAACATAAACTGGAACTGAAGTTTATGGAATAAATGTTTGTGCATGTTGGAATCTCGTCATTGCACTCACTAGGTATCAAGTGTGCTACATGCAAACGATGATCCTCAATAGGGGTGTAAGCGGTCCGGTTTTACCGGTTTTTGACAAATTTTAAAACCAAACCATTTCAACTGGTTTGAGAAAAACTCAAACCTAAATCAAATCGTTTTGATCGGTTTGAAAAAAATTCAAACCTAAACATAACGGTTTGGTCCGATTTGAAACCGCCGGTTTCGCGTATATTTTTTTTCCTGTCTAGTATCTACTTTTATGCAATTAATTCAATGTATATTTATATCTTACTAGAAATAAATTTAAAACAAACTAAATATATTTACTATAAATTTAAGTTCCGACAAAATAAAAGTAAAATCACAATAA